AGTAGTAGCAGTGCAGTAGTAGTCGTCGTCGTAGTAGTAGTAGTAGTACTAGTACTAGTACTAGTACTAGTAGTAGTACGAGCAGGAATAGGAATAGTCGTGGTCCAGACCAGTAGTTGAGACTTTGCAGCCGGGAGTCTATCCGTAGACAGCAGAAGAAAATCGAAGTTAAAGTTACGCCTTATCTCTGCCGAGGGTAGGGTTTTGTGGCAGAGCTGTATGTTTCCGGAGTTTAGGGCAAAACTAGAGTCACTAGAGGGACCTACCCACAGGTTCTCCGCCAGCGACAAGGGGACGCCGCGCCAAGTGCAGCAGCAGCCTCTTTGGTGCCCCGCGCGATAGCACCAGTTGTCTTCAGGCCCCCATTGCGACAATGACAGTTGACAGTGAATCGATTGATTGGATTTTGCGATTTTTGATTGTGGAAACGGTTGAAATCGCAAAACGGATAGTCTACCAACACTTGTGATGGACTGCTGTGTATTTAGAAGGCTGCTGGGGCTTGTTTCGGATCTCGGTGGTGTACCAGTGTCGTGAGGTGTTTGGGCGCCACCATGATGTCAAACGCTGGTGGTATCCTTTATCACTGCTGCCGGTGGGCTCAGCGCGTCTTAGTTTGCAAACCCTTTGTGCATGTCGTGCTAAACCGAAGGACAAAACAACAAGTGGGTAGTTCTCTAAATTAGGGTCCCTTTTTAGGTCCCCAATATAGTACCGCACCCTTATAAAAAGAACCCCAAAAGGGACCCTAATTTAGAGTACTGCCCAAGTGTTGCAGACCGGAGTGATCATCCTGTCGTTCGGAACATGTGAAGATCGGTATTCAATGAATACTCTTGACCACAGCCTTGGTAGTCGTTACGATACCCCGAGCGGAAAGTCTACTATATCGACTCTACTTTATACTCTATAATTATAGGCTCACATATATATATATATATATACATATATATATATACACACACATACACCCGAAACCCTGACTTGTCCGCTGCGCTCTTCAAACGCTTCTTCCTGGCGCTTGAGACCTTACCTCTGCTGGCCTCCCTTCATGGCACGGCGCGTGTCTTGGCTGCTTTCGATCCTCCAGGTGCACCTCGGCTATTGTTTGGAACATGTCGATTTGGGCTTAGAGACTATGCTGGTTTCAGAAGGTATATAATTCTAATTCTACCTATAACTATTTACCTAACCACCTATCTGTCTTGGAACCAGGGGATCCCTAAACTGGCTAACTGGCTGTGGCATTCGTCCCCAGAATCCCAAGAGCTCCTCCCAGGCAGACTTGCCTCGGCGTTTCCGTGCAAGTGGATGACCGCAGCCTGCCTTCACATGTGAGCAATCTGGGAGACACACATCCATCTAGACAAGCATACCGTGTAGAAGTAGACGAAGTCTTGTAAAGGCTTTGAACCATGCCTGCTACCTCTATAGCAGAGAATACCGATTTGCAAGATGACATGCGTCGCCTTCTTTGGCAATGTGAGTCGGTTCGTAACACATCCGACTGTAGTTACTTGTTATTGTAACTATGCGTAGTCGTAGTCTGAGCATCGTTGGTGTTTATTTGCCGTGGCTGTTGCTATTCCTGGTACTTCATGGCGTCATCGTTGTTCATCGTCGTCGCCTTTGTCGCAATGGACTGATCGTGGCGGTGTTGTCGTGGTGGTGGTGGTGCTGCAGCCGCTGTTGTTTCTGCTGCCGATGTGTGTACTTCGGTTGCTGCTGTTTGCTGGTGGTGGTGACAGTGACAGTGGTGCTGGTGGTGATGGCTTGTCTTTTAGTACTACGGTTGATGATATAAATCCGGCATTACCTTGAGGCCCTAAACTATGGGAATGATGGTAGATTCCTTGATATGGGTAACGCAGGATTTGTATCATCAACCGTATCATACTCATTCTCATCATTGCTGCTATTTTGGGGTACGGCGCCAGTATGTCAACGCAGTATGATTCTCCGATTTTTATCGATCACATACCATAGCTTTTGCTCAATCCCCCTGCAGCTTCTGTTCAAGGTGGTGAGGCAGCAGCAGCACCAGCAGCAGCTCCGCTGATTCGCAAGGCAGAGGAGAACACGTCCTCGTGGGTCTTCGTGCATGTCCCCAAGACAGCAGGGACGACAATCTGGGATGCATTGGGCCCTTCCTATACTGACTCTGGACGGTACGACGAGGTGCAGTTCGCTTGCATGAAGCACAACCCTCCGAAACACCATGTCCGAAACAGCTTCGCAATCGTGCGGGAGCCGTGCGAGCGACTGGTCTCTGAGTTTGCTTGGGCCAAGAACCAGGCTTGGTTTGATATTTACTACAAAGACTATGGCGTCGTCAAGACCTTCCCGCCCACCTGTGTAGCATGGCAACATCATCTGTCAGTGATTTATTCGTCTTGAGTTGTCGAAGCAAATCATGTCCAGTTGGTTTAGCATGCTTGTGGGAGAGTTGCTTTCTGCTCAGCTGACCTCTCCAGGAAATGTTCAATGGATGGGTTCGTTCCGTGCTGCAGCGCTACACAGCGCAGTCCGACGTGGAAGATTGCCACTTGATCCCACAGTGGTGCTATCTCTCCAAGGCGGCATCGGTCGTATCCTGGATTTAGGGCACAAGCGGCCTGACGAACGGGACTCCAGCAAGGCTCAACGGTGCGATCCGAACACTCCTTCCAACTAGTGCTCGCAGGCAAAACCTTGGACACAGACCTAAACCCCTTAACCGTGGCTCCGTTCCAAGCTGCTTTTGGGCTCCGCTTCCACCGGAAGCCTAAACCCCTACTACAATTGCTATATTAATTAGAATAGGGTTTAGGGTATATTATACTAGAATTATAATGAGGAACCCCCCCAAAACCCTAAACCCTAAACCCTAAACCCTAAACCCTAAACCCTAAACCCCAAAACCCTATTCTAATTATTAAGGCCCCCACATTACCCAAGCCCCGCGGCCCGAAAGCCACACCCTTGAGTCCCCAAAGCCGAGCCTTGGAGAGTCCAAGTCATGTAGGGGCCTAAATGAATACCAATACTATTGTTGGGGGTTTAGGGTTTAGGGTTTAGGGTTTAGGGTTTAGGGTTTAGGGTCTAGGGTATAGTATAATGGGCCCCAAAAGCCCTATTCCCCCCTACATGATGCACATTGAAAGGTTCGATGTGTCGAATTGCCTTCCCTGCCTGGGTCGAAAGCCTTCACACGCCGCCCCCAAAGCCAAGAGCCCTAAAGCTCCTGCTTTCAAAACACCGAACACAAAAGCAATTTGTTTTCAATTTTGAAGCCCTACGTACAGTTCCTCAAAAATGCCAGCCATAAGGGCCCCATGAAGGGTACTACAAGGGCCCTTCAAAAGGGTACTACAAGGGCTCTTGCAAGACGGAGGTGGACAGGATCCTCCCCTTGGACGACCGGCTGCAGAGGAACTTCCGGGCCTTGGCGCCGGAATTCCGCACTGCCGTGCTCAAGAGGCAGTCGAGGGCTTGAGGATCTATATAGAAGTTTTATTTTGGGGTTCAGGGTTTAGAGTTTAGGGGTCCAGGGCCTTTTAGAGGGCTTGAGGACTTTGCATACAGACATAGTAAAGAAGCCTTAAAAAATTACTAACAGTAGGGCTTGGGTACCTTATTCTAATTCTACTATACCGGAGCCCAAAACCCTGTTCTATTCTTCAGGCCCCTAAACCCTAAAGTCATATAGTCCCTTATACAACCCTTTAAGGAACCCTTTACTATATTTATCAGGCCCCTACGCCCTAGAGCCTTAGAGTCCCTTATAGAACCCTTTCAGGAACCCTTTATTATATTGATATAGACTATGGCCCTTATAGTCCCTTATCGAACCCTTTCAAGAACCCTTTATTATATTTATATAGACCATGGCCCTTAGAGTCCCTTATAGAACCCTTGAAGGAACCCCTTTTATTGCTTTTATTCAGACCATAACAGGCTGAATTCGGACGACTCGGCTCGAAGAAGCAACGTGACGTGTGCATGCTTGGATGCTGAGAACATGCTGCTTGACTGCTGCGGATCGGGTTTAGGGTTTAGGGTTAAGGGGTTTAGGGTTTAGGGTTCCTGAGCTTCTAAGATAACGATGACTCTGGACGTCGGGATAATGAGTAAGTCAGCATCACTGAAACTGTCATGTTACAGTTCCCTTTGTAGTAATAGTATGAGTTACCCGAAAACAAATTCCTAACTTCAGGCCGTTGTCGCACATACTAAAAACGGAGGATGAGGTGTGTAGGGTTTTGGGTACACAAGAAGGATGTGTACATAGGCATTTCAGTCTATGGGGAGGCGACATTTACATGCATCTGGAAGATCAATAGACGCTGCTAAAGCGTCAAGGAACTTGACAGGCATGTTTATGTGTATGTGTTGCCTACCCTAGCTAACTACCTACCTACCTACCTACCTACCTACCTGCCTGCCTACCTACCTATTTACCCACCCAGCCACCCACCCACCTACCGACCGACCGACCTACCTACATACATACATACATACATACATACATAAATGAAATGTTTGTGTATGTGTATATATATATGTGTGTAGCTGTGTGTATGTATGTATGTATGTATGTATGTATGTATGTATGTATGTATGTATGTATGTGTGTTGTATGTATGTTGTATCTATGTATGTATGTATGTGAGTATGTATGTATGTATGTATGTATGTATGTATGTATTTATGCATGTGTCTATGCATGAATGTATGTATGTATGTATGTATGTATGCATGTATGTATGCATGCATACGTGTGTGATACTGTGTTAATGTACGCATGCATGCATGCATGTATGCATGTATGCATGTATGCATGTATGCATGTATGCATGTATGCGTGTATGTATGTATG